TAGCATACATGTGGCATACACACATACAGCATAAATACTAATACAGACATACACATGCTATTAAGGCTATTGTTAAGGTTACATACATAAGTATAATGGGGGAAGTGTGTGAGAGAGAGAAAGTCAGATATTCAGAGACAATGATAGGAGGTACGGGCAGATTTTTATCGGTTTAACAACATTGGCTGACAGTTTGGAGAATAATTTGCCAATGCTAAGTAATTCAGCTGTGGTCTTGACACTGAGGGTGCTATCACTTCTCACTGACACACCTGGCAGAGGTCTGCACAACGGAGAGAATTTTTATAGGTCATATTTATGAGGGTACTATCACTGTTCACTGCCATGCATGACAGTATTTCATATACAGTATAAGCTATATTTGAGATGAATGAAAAGCAAATTTTGACAGACAGCCTGAGCAAGCATGTCCTCAAGCATTTCTGGATCAGGCAGACTATATAATTCATGATGCAAATAAACCAGGTGGCCTAAGTCTTGACAGTGTTATATCTAATAATATAGTGTTCAAGTGCATGCTTTTAAAGGTTTATCACAAAGTTTACATGCTGAGCGTTCCGTAAAGAAGCAGCGTTATTAATCTCTGCCACATGTGTCTGTATCCTAGCTTAATTTAAGCTACTTTGACTACATCGGCATTATGTCTGGTTCTGTCCTCATATGCTGGCCATACCGGTACCTCTCAAGTCACAAAATCGGCTATATTTACTTAATGCTACAACCGTCAGGTCTCTGTGCAATACTCCAGTTATTCTAGATCAGCATGGCAGATTTGACCGCATGTTGTTGCTGTCAGCATTGGGCATCCCGGCTGCAGAGAGAGAGAGAGAGAGAGAGAGGAGGGGAGATGACCCGTTTAATGGCAAAATTGTCTTCACAAACTGGAGCAATATGGAGGGGAGGAGAAGGGGTAGGGAGAGATGGTAAGGAAAAGGAAGAGGGAGGAAGGAGGAATTGGAAGCAAGAAAAAAGAGAAAAGAATGCGTGATATAAAAAATAAGTATAAGAATATAATGAGGAAGAAGAAAATAAATGCAAGGGAAGGGAGGGAAAAGGAGAGCAGGGTCAAGATGGAAAGAGGAGAAGAGGAAAGATTGGTAGGCAAGGAAGGAGAGAGAGAGAGAGAGAGGGGGGGGGAGGGAGGAGGAGGAGGTTGGGTAGAATTCAGATAGGTGGGGTGGAAGGTGGGGGAGAGAGAGGAGAAGGAGAAGAAGAGGGAGGGGGAGGAGCTGGGGGAGAGAGAGGAGGAGGAGGAGAAGATAAAAATAATACAGACAATTACACATTAAGAATTAAATTTATTGACGGAGCCACCAAAAAACTTTATTCTGATAAGAAACGGAGAAGAGGGGTAAAAAAATATAATAAGGAAATGAGTAAAGCTGAGTAACACAGCAGAGAGAGAGAGAGAGAGAGAGAGAGAGATAAAAGATAAAGTGGCCATGAGTGCATAAAGGAAAAGTTCATAAGTATAAAGCCTGACTCACCATACGTCCCTTGAAAAGCTTTTTATCACTTTTAGTCTCGGCAAAAACTTGGGAGGTTAGGGGCTATTTTTTCCGAGTAGTTTAAAGGTATTGACACTGAGGGTGGTATCACTGTTCACTGCGCAGAACAGAGGTTAATGTCAAAGGTGATAATGTATAGGTTGTATCATTTGTGTTACATTTTATTTGAGGACCAATCAGCATGGGTTGTTAGACCCAGGATAGATCGTAAGACTGTCCTCAAATACCCCTGATTCAATGTAGTAATTATATAGTTCACGATACACCGTCAAGTGGTTCAAAGTTCTTTGACAGTGTTGCATTCAATAATATAATGTTCAAGTGTATAAGCTTTAAAGGTTTATCACAAAGTTTCAGGTAAAGGCGCGGAGGTTCCGGTACGGGTACAGTATCACTAACTTCTGCCAGATGTTCGGTATCCAAGCGTCTGGCCTTGTCCCAGCCGTGGCTTACATTTGCAGGTCGTTTTCTCACAAATTATTGCGGTTTGCTAATGCGTTACAACTATCAGGCCTTCTGTGCACCTCAATTCTTTAGATCAGAGTTCATGATTTTGACTCTGTGTGTGTTTTTGGCACAGCACTGGGCAGGCGGAGTCGATATGTCACACCATCTTCACAGCAAGCTCCATTGCCATACTCCACCTCTGCACACCCATCCCTTCCCCCACATCCAGTCCTCCAGCACAATTATCCTATTCCATTACACCCACCTTTCCTAAAGATCCCATCCTTCACCATATCCAAACATCCCCACATCCTTCCTCTGCACCCCATTTCTCACACCCACACCCCACACCCCACACCTCCCCCCACAAATCCCCAACACCACACCTCCCCCCACACCCCCCACAAATCCCCATTTCCACAGAATTTCCCACGTAGAATCCTCCACACACCACCTCCCCCACGCATCCCCACACCCCACCTCCCCACATCCCCCACACCTCACACCTACCCCACACCCCACTAAGCGGACAATGATCATAATTATGCATTAAGGATAACATCAGCCATGCATCAAGATCACTTGAGCATGCTTGGCTTCAGCCCTGCCTGGAGAAAAATGTTCGGTCTCCTTGCTTGCTTCCTTTAGTCTTGTTTGTTCATTGTTCCTCCTTATTTGTTGTTCATCTCTTTGCTTGTCTTTGTTCCTCTCGTTTGTTCCTTTTGTTCCTCTTGCTTGCTCCTTGTTCTCTGTTTGTGTCTTCGTTCCTCCTTTTTGCTGTCTCCTTGTTCTTTCTTTGTTTGTCCTTGTCTTCTTTGCTTGTTCTTGTTCTTCTGAAATAGTTTGTCTTGTTCCCTCTTTGCTTGCCCTGTTCTTTCTTGCTTGTTCTGCCCTCCTTGTTTGTTCCTTGTTCCTTCTTGGTTTAATTCCCTTGTGTTCCTTGGCTTGTTCCTTGCTCCTCTTTGTTTGCCCTTGTCTTCCCTTGTTTGCCTCAAGTTCCTTTCTTAGTGTTTGTCTAGTCTTCCCTTGTTTGTTCCTTTTTGTCTCTTTTTTGTTTGTTCCTTGTTCCTCCTGTTTGTTCTTGTTCCTTGTTTTGTTCCTTGTTCCTTCATCTTCCCTTGTTACTCTCATCTCCTTATTTATTTATTGTTTCCTCCTTAAATTAGTTCTGAGATGATACTAAATGCTTCCTTGAGAGCAATGGTATGTATCAGGTGCCTCAAAGAGAGCTTCGCTCCCTCAACCGCTCTTGTTACATATTATCCACTCTGTATCTGTGTTTTTTCACAAATAAATGTTTCTAACGGACAAACCAGTAAATGTTCTCAGGTGATTCAAAACAGTCATCGTTATAATTGTTTGCATCGAGGTTTGCCAATGCTGGTGATCAAGGTTTCTTTTGTCCCCTCGGTTCCCCAGCATGTCTCTCTTTGTTAACCCCAGGCATACCTTCTCACCTGGTCACGCACAAACAACTGCTCTCTGCCCTTCCTCCCCCTGGCACCGCAGGATGGTCGCCAGATACAGTTAACCCTGTGTGTAGGTGTGTGTGTGTGTGTGTGTGTGTGTGTGTGTGTGTGTGTGTGTGTGTGTGTGTGTGTGTGTGTGTGTGTGTGTTTATTAGAAGGATGGGGTGGGATACGACGGGTCCGTAGAGGGGATGTACAAGGGTGGGGATAATTGGGGTAGGTGGGGATGGGCCAGTGTGGTGAAGGTGGGTGTTGTGAAGGTTGTGTGTGGGATGGTATATGGTGTGTGGGATGGGTAAAAGGAAGGTTGGTGTGTGGAAGGTGTGTGTGTAGGACAATACAGGGTGGGATGGTAAAAGGGTGGTGGGGATGGTTGACGGGAAGGTAGGGATGGCTGTGGAAGGTGGGGGGGATGGGTTGTGTGGTATGTGTGGAAGGGTAAGGTGTGGGAAGCAGGAGTGGCAGCATTATATTAGTGTAGGCAGAGGCACTGGAATTATCCTAGAAGAAGGGATGTGGTAAACCCAACGAAAATTTTAGGGCATCAGACATGCTTACAGAGAAGAGGTGACCAACAAGGGAACCCAACGACTACACCGGTGGATAAAGGCAAGCATGATGGACAGGCTACTATGGCGAAACCCAATAGAGTGGCCTATTGACAGTCCATTGCAACTCTCCCTCTTTCCAGGCGTTGCAGCTACAGGATCAGGAAAAGGGAGATCCAAGATGTGTGGTTGCCGCCTGCGCTGCTGCTTCACCACTTAAATCAACTCTTGCACAGTCATCATCCACTTCATCATACTTTTCATCATCATCCAAACCCCAAAACCCCTAAACCCCAAAAGTTCTATGACGACAGACGAATGGCGATGGGGACAGGCAGAGATGACTCCCGGGAGTCTCTACTCACAACTCTGCAGATGGGCGGCATAGATAAGATGGTCGTTTATACACTGGGATCTACTGTCGGCAGCGATTGAGTAGCCCTTTCCAGGAGCTAACCTGCACACCCCACCTGAGGAGGTGTCTAGAGAAGATGCCCTAAACATAACCTGCCTAAAAACCAACCTGACTGGGTTACCACACATAGTAAAGTCATCCTAATGTGGTCGAAAACACAATAATAATCACAGATCAAGGCAAACACAAATTATACAACATCTTATGGTCGCTGCGTGAAATGTCAGGACACTTCTGCATGCTGACACAAATCAACTCTCTGAAAGAATAGGTACAACATCGACATAGCAGTCATAAGTGAGTCCCGGCTTCCAGACGAAGGCCTACTGACAGAACGGGGTCCAGCTATACCTTCTTCTGAAAGGGTAAGCCTGCTGTGGAGAGAAAATACATATATGGAGTTGGCTTTGCTATTCGCCAATCCATCCTACATATGCTAACTGAAATGCCTGTTGGGGTGGACGAGCGCCTCATGATGCTCCGAGTTCCACTGAATTACTCACGACATGCCTTCTTCATCAGTGCATCACTGTACAGTATATGCCCCAAAACTGGATGCAGATGATAACTAGGAGGAGGCCTTTTATGCCGACCTTTACAGAGTGCTAACCTCTATCTCCAAAGAAGATAAGGTTGTGCTCATTAGTGACTTCAATACCAGAATTGGCAGGAAACCATAGGGACAAACGGAGTGGGCAGAAAAAACCCCAGTCTTGGACCAAAGCTGATTCCTTCCACAAGAAAAAAGCGGCGGTCCAGTGTGAACTTCACAAACTAATGAACAAATGGTGGAAAAATAAAGCATGTGCAACGGAAAAATTTATGGATCAACACAAGATGCGTGAATTTTTCAATTTCACTAAAACAATATATGGTCCAATTACTGATTACACAGGCCCTCTCTGTTCATCTGACAGAAACTCCCTAATTAAAGACAAAGAAGACATCTGTCAGCGCTGAAAAGAGCACTACCAATCGCCGCTCAACCGAAACACCGATGAAGATGTCCTGACTAACCAGCAGGCCCCTCAGCACCCAAAGCTGACCTACCTCAGCTATCATCCATCCCTGGATGAGGTAGCTACTGCCATCAAGCAGATGAAAAAAACAAAGCCTCAGGGCCTGATGGAATCCCAGCCGAGGTGTATAAAGCAGGAGGACCTCTGCTTACCAGCCGTCTCCACTCTCATCCGGAGAATATATAGGAGGAGAAGGAAATCCCCCAAGACATTAAAGACTCCTTCATCTTTAATATTTATTATAACAACTACCACAGGACCTTGCTGCTGTCCAAAGCTGGCAAGATTATCGCCTGAGTCCACCTAAACAAACTTCTTCCTGAGGCGGAAGACTTCCTCCCAGAATCGCAATGTCGATTTAGACCATCCCGTATCACCACTGACATGATTTTTTCTGCCGGCCAGATACAGGAAAAGTGCAGAGAACAGTGGTGTGACTTGTATATGCCCTTCATCGACCTTACCAAGTCCTTCAACTCGGTCAACAGGGAAGCCCTCTGGCGGACCCTCAATCGTTTTTGTTGTCCACCAAAATTCATTGCCATTGTGAGGCAAATCCACGATAGCATGAGTGGCAGTGTATAGCAAATTGGCACCCAGTCTGAGTTCCTCCCCAACCAAACCGGGGTAACACAAGGTTTTGCACTGGCACCAACTCTCTTTTCCATTTTTTTTGGCTGCCTTCCTTACTCGTGCAGATGCCTATTTAGCTGGCATGGACGACAGTAGACTGTCAAAGCAGCTACTTTACAGTCACCTAATGAATGGTTAATGTAATGCTGGCGGACAACAGAAAGGGTATAAGAATAGTCTTAAGGCAAACTTGAAAAAGTGCCAAATCGACCCCTTCACGTGGAAGACGATCAGTCCCGTATCGACCTATCAAGTCCCCCCAGGTTCACCAACGAAGGTGACATCTTCAAAAACTCATATCAATGTCTCATAGCTGGATAATCGTCATATGTGTGTGTGTGTATGTGTGTGTGCACAAGTTGCATGTATATTGAGCAGTTGTCCCCCCAAGCCTGCTATATGGCAGCGAAACATGGGCTACATAGAGAAGGCACCTCAAGGCACTTGAAAACTTTCACCAAAGTTGTCTAAGTTCCATCCTCCGAGTTCGCTGGGAAGACAAGAGAACAAATGCCAGTATTCTCGCTGACACCAGATGCAGGAGCATCGAGGCTACCATTATCCATGAACAACTGCGCTGGACTGGCCATGTTACCAGCATGGACGACAGTAGACTGCCAAAGTAGCTACTTTACAGTTATCTAACGAATAGTAAACGAACGCAGGCGGGCAACTGAAAAGGTATAAGGATAGTCTCGAGACAAACCTGAAAAAGTGCCAATTCGACCTGGGAGACGATCACTCCACACCGTAACGCTTGGAGGATCACCACGAGAGAAGGTGGCAATACCTTCGAATTCACCCGACTGCAGACCAAGGCATACAAGCGCCAGCTCCGGAAAGACGCTGCCGCCGTCCCTCCCACACTAGATGGAGCCATCCACATGTGCAATATCTGTGAACGACCCTGCCGGTCCCGTATCGGCCTCTTTAGTCACTTGAAAACTCACCAACCTAGGTGACATCCTTAATAACTCATATCATTGCATCATGGCTGGATGATCATCATCCTCGATTCTGAGTGACAGCAAAGTAGTACTAGTGTGTGTGTGTGTGTGTGTGTGTGTGTGTGTGTGTGTGTGTGTGTGTGTGTGTGTGTGTGTGTGTGTGTGTGTGTGTATGTGTGTGTGTGTGTGTGTGTGTCCCGCCTTAATGTCATATTTTACTTAATTATGAAAATTTCAACTGTGTTATCCTAGGAAAAAATTACTAATCGTTAGCATTGTCTGTATACCTGCCGTGTTTGTGTACATTATTTATATACCTACACTGTGTATGTAAACTCGGTAAAAACGACTATATTTTAGTAGGGGGCCGATATATTTGGAACTGAGCAATTCTGTTTTCTCGCTAGGGTTGGTAGGCGTGATTGTGAGACATTTCCTGCCCTTTACGGTAGGCCTAATTGAGATACTTCATTTTATAAAGGCCCCTCATGGGCATTTATAAAACACCTTCATTCGTGGTGTCATTTTGTTTCGCACAAAAATTGTAAAGGAAGTTTTTACCGAGTGTACAGGCTGAATTAATGTTAACTTCTATGCCGATTTTATTTAATTATCTCTCTCTCACTCTAAGCACTCATTAAACTAAGACTTTTACAGAGGTAATCCTTAGTCACGTCATCAACTGTTTGCATCATTACTTTTTTTTCAAATTCGGTCCTACAACACGTTTCTGCGTTTTTACCTAAGTAGTGTACGTGTCACCACGTCCTTTGCGTCCACCTCCGTAGCATGTCGTTGGTGTAAACGTGAGAACCTTGGTCGGGTTATCTTGAAGCTTGGCACAGATGTTAATAATTGTATGATTTTGTTTAAGGTGTAGAAGCTGTCGCCAACACAACAACCACATCCTAAGTTAACGAGCTGCATGACACAGTGTTTAAGGTGTAGAAGCTGTCGCCAACACAACAACCACACCCTAAGTTAACGAGCTGCATGACACAGTGTCAAGGAATAGTTCGAGAAGATCGGACAACTCGCCAACTGCACTGGCTAATCATTAAACCGGAACACGATCCGCAAATTGCTTAACATCCAGGATT